CTTTTCATCAGCTCACACGATTTTATCCGCCAAAAGGAGTGCTTTCTAATATTGTATTGATATAGCCAAACAAAACATATCAATACAATTGCGTGAGGAGCACTCAAAAAGAAAAAAAAAATTAATCAATTAAGCAACTACAAAGAAAATTTTTTTTTAATTATCCTCATAGACAAAGCTAACAACAATTATACAATCTTCTGTAAACAATTCTATGTTGAACCTTTAAATACGGAGTTAAAAAATAGTGAAAATTTTAAGCTTAGTAATTTGCATAATAATGTTATCATTAAAAAAATTAGTTTTATATATAAAATTAAAAATTTAAAAATTAAAATTAGCAATGTACAATTTTCTTACTTAATTATCAGTCCTAAATTTTAGAAAATTCCTATAAAGTTCAGAACAATGAGACGTGGGTCTAATACTTACCAAACTAAACCTGCCACCATTGTCTCCAACTACTTAAATAAAATTATTAACAATATCATTAATATGGATTATCTCCAATAATCAACCTTTTTTGAAATTTATTAAACAAAATAAAATGAATTCTATTGCGACTTTTGATTTCCAGGATCATTTCAATAGCATTCCCCTTTCTAAATTAAAAGATGCCCTTTTGAGTTATTACTATAATTTTAAAAATATCCTTAGTTACGATTCAGATTAATGGAAAATTCTAATTATTTTTTGTCTTTTTAATAATTATCTTTACAAGGAAAAAAATATTTTTATTCAAATTGATGCAATACCGCATGGATCTAGTTTTCCCTCTCTCTTAGCTAACTTACTTTTACTCTATTATAAAAAAAAAAATTATACCCTTATTATTAAATTTATTTTTAGATTTATTGATGATTTAATTATCTTTAATATTCAAGATTGCACAATTTTAATAAGGAATATTTTCCCCGAGGAATTAATCTTGCTTCGTAATCATGATGATAATATTAATTTTAATTTTTTGAATTCGGGTATTAAAAAAGAAAAAAAATAACTGGTTTGATGATTTATGCGATAAAAGAAATGATTTTCATTTAAATATAAATAAACTAATTACTTGAAATTCTAATGTTTCTAAAAACATCTATTTAAATACCACTTTTAATCAAGTGAATAGAATTAAAGGAATATGTAGTAATGTTTATTTAGTCAAAAAAAATAGGCAAACTCTTTCAAAATTTGATAAAAAAAAAAAAAAACAATGGATACCCAACTAAAGTAATTAACTTCCATATAAAATCATTGAGTTAACTGTATGATAATATTAATTAATTTACTAAAAATTTCTTTGTTAATGTTTACCATGTCCAATACGGGCAAATACGTGCCTAAAAATCTGTGCAAAACGACCAAATCATGTTTTTCTTTCTTTCTCTCTCTTTCGCTCTTTTTTAAATATATGTTAATTTTCTGAAATCATTAAAATTGTATAATTAAATAGCAACCTTATTAATTTTAAAATATACAAATATATTTAAGGCCTTCCTAAATTTTTTTTATATTCTAAAATTGTGGCTAACAACTAATTTTTTTTAAATAAAATTAAATACGTTACAGCTCCCTTCCCCAGCAGTGCAAATGGAGTAATTGGAAATTCTACAAAATTACCAGTTTCGGGGTTTAGTCTCACATTTCAAATTCCCTGGTATTATGCAATTAGAGACCGTTATATGCTGAAAATTCATGGATGCGATTTTAGAGATGTGACTAAGAGCCTGGATTTGTGAATTGCTTTTATTGCACGTAAAGCTCTCTGCTTCTCTCTATCAGCACATCCCTCGATTCGCATATGGATGGGTAACTGAATGTAAACAATAACAAGCTTCCTAAAACCGGAAGAAATTTAGAAAACTTCCAGTGTATCCCTACGCTTATGAGGCGATGTGTGAACAGGCTTAATATTCCAGGAAGTTTTATTATTGTGATTTGTGCTTAAATTTACGCGTAATTTTACCATTCATTAATGTTTTCTGTTACTTATAAACTCTAACAGGTCGTGAGCCTAAAACAGATGTAACAAAATTAATGTCAAAGCATAAAAAAGTGTAAATTTTGCCATGTTTTGAATTTTATCCCTTATTTGGCTATATTTGTGCAAAATAGCACCCTTTGTTATTTTTTGGGTAGCATCATAGCCAGCTTGCAGAGTCTTCAAAATTCATTTGTTGTTTGTTCTAATGAAAGTTAGATTGAAAGATCGTATTATACTGTAAATACTACAGGTATCAAAATATTGGATAGCGCGTTTTTTCAAACTCAGGCGTAAAAACCAATCGGAAGTACTAACTCGGAAGCAGTGGCGTAGCTAGGTAACCAAGGGCCCTGGGGCAAATTTAAAAATGGGGCCCCACTGCTTTTTATCAAACTGATTAGGTTTTATCAAATAAAAATATGAAATATACAAATACTTTAAAAATGCTAAGCTACAAAAGCTCCTTTTTTTGTGCACTGCAGGGCAGGTAATAAAAATATTAAACAGTAACAACATAAATTACAATTAATACTTGGTGTAGGTTTGGCTAATAAAACGAAATTGAGAAATTCAAGGGTTTATTATATAAAGGTCGGGCCTACCAACTGACTAAATAATAATTATATTTACAATTTTTTCCTAGCTTTAGTTTTCGCAAAAGTATCAATGACTTCGTTTAAATCCAGGCTTGATGCGGCTTACTAGGGTAAGTATGATATCGAATAACCTTTGAAGAACCATTTTCCAAAATGATGCTTCTTTTCAAATTTCATTTTCACGTTACTTGTCGATAGTATTAGTATCGTTTTTTTTCCAAAATTCATACACAGCACTTGCTTCCGAATGGCCACTCGAACAACTGTGTTGTTTAATTCTTTCTGATAAATGCTTCCAATATCGAATTCCCGTACACCAAACATTATTCCTTTGTGAAGCAAATAACCAGCAGGGTTGACAAAGGCAGCGTCTAGTATTTTGGAATAACACAACCAAAAACGATTAACTGGCCCATATTTAGAACACGAAACGTAGTACGATTTTAAAAAACACCTATTGTTCTGGTTGATGTCTGTTGGAAAAGGTCATGAAGGCTGTAAAGGCCCCATATCAAGAATTTGACGTTTTTCGTTATCACTTAATGTCTTCTTAGTGAAGTTTCCCAAGTCATAAGAGGATTTGTCGTACACATTTTCGAAAAATGTAGAGGTCTGTGGTTCCTCCAAACCCTCCGCTCTTATGTGTGTCATGCAAACATCATCCACGTTCACATGATCGGCGGCGGAGGTATCTCCAACTGCAATAATTGTCGAATCTTCTTCAGTAGGCTTCTCAACCAACACTGCAGTTACCACATTATTTGAGTCACTATCAATAGAAATATTTTGGCTAGATGTACTTGCAGAAGGCAGACTAAAAAACTTGTCAATTTTGGGCAATTTTTGTTTACTATCTTCTCTTTCTTGGCGTTGTTTGCGTTTAAATGCACCACTGGGTTTCTTCTTTTTATCCATAATTTTAGTTTTCTAATTTATTTAAACAATACAATATTAGATTGTGCTCGAGTAGGTAGGTACTCACTGTTCACTGACGACGTTAAAAGTAAAATAAAAGGAAAGAGAAACACAATGATACGCAACAAGTGTCGTTGGGGAATCTCCGGAAAACAATTATCACCGTTAGTGTTACCACATTTAACGGTGGAGACTGTAATACATGTTATACAATGAGCTGTAGCCGAAATCTATAGATTTGACACAATTTATTGACTTAACAGAGATCAATATGAGTGGTAAAATCAAATAAAATTGAACCACTATATTGACCAGTACAAAAAAGTTTATTGACATTAGCTTACTTACTCCTGATACAGCATTAATTTTTTAACCGTTCTCGAAAAAAAAATCTTAATTCGAATTCACAATAAAACGCACATCGATGAATAATAAAACGCACATATCACTATCCGTCAAATTGACAACACTGCCAACCTACAGAAAGAATTTAGGGGAATTCCTTAAGGCCTCACATACCTTTTAATAGGTAAAAAATGAGAGAAAACGAGCAATTTTCAATCATCTGCCAATTTTATAATAATTATTCTAAAAATACCAAATTTTGAAATATGACACTATACATAGTCTACATTTTGAAAACAATGCAAAAAATTTTTTTCAAAAATTAAGAAATTTCTTAATTAATTGAAATTTTAATTCAATAAAATTTTTCTGTTTTTATTTGCGCGCAAGCTTCTGGAAAAAGTTTACATAATATTTGCTTGATTTTTTTTGTGAGTATAGAAATATATGGTAAAACTAAAATGACGAAGAATGAACAAATAATTTTACTTTTTTCTCTATGCAAAAATTTTTTTAAAATTTATTAAAAAATTTTAACAAAAAAAATTGCTATTTCGTTTTTTTAAATGTCAATACATTAATCCCACCTTCAAATGGCTTCGTTAATTTATAGAAACAGGTATTTGAGACCTGCTGTTAAACTTTTGTGCAATTCTAATCAATAGTTTTCGAGATATTGTGCGCGCAAGGTGTAAAAATAGCATTTTGAGATAAATGAGTTTAAACACAAAACAGGACATATTTTATTAAGGAAAATGTATGACTTATTTTTTCGATAACTTTTGATCTAATGTGAATTTTTTTATGCTTTTTTTTCCAAATTTTCAGAAAGATCCATAGAATAGAATAAAATATTATTAAAAAAAATCGATTTTTTGTCATATTTATTTTGAAAATGGGAGAAATTTCCAAAAGTTCAGTTCGATCGAGATTTCTGGTAAGGATTCGAGGGCCCTCTGAGCTTGAGGGCCCCGGGGCATTGCCCCGCCTAGCCCCTTGGTAGCTACGCCACTGCTCGGAAGTCTTTCGACGAATTGTAACCCCTAGCGCTATCTGTGCCTAGCTTTGCTTGGTCACCCATCCAAGTGATTTTTCAGAAGCAGTGAGAATGGCCCTTAAGTCTTAGTGTAAGTGAGCCTTTGTCTTATTGCTTGTACGAATGTTCAGAAAATATCTGGCAACATAAGCCGAACGTCAAAAACAGAACGATAAATGCGGTGTGAAAGCCGCTGAGTTTCGATGTTTCAATATTTATTTAACTTAATTTAACGTGTCATGTTTCTTACAGTTTAATTTTTTTTACTAATTTTGCTTCTTGTGTTGGTTTTCATATTAAATTTTAACTGGTTAGGTGAAAAAATTGAATTTTCAAGATGTTTGCATAAGTTGACATTATATTCGTCGTCTGTTTGAAAATTTATATTTTGATAGGGCTTAAAATTACTTGTTTTGTTGGTAATTGTAAATTATTTTTTTCAAAAGAAAACTTCATAGTTTTTATTTAATGTTAATTATGTGGTATTTTTACGAAACTCTAAACAAACAATAATTACGTTTATTATATAAAGAGATGTTCTTATCACTGCCTGATTGTTTCGTTAAAAAATATTTAGTCCATGGCCTTGCGTGGGAGTGGCTATGATTTTTACCTTATGAATTTTTTCCATTATGTAATGTCTTATAGTTCCTAGTACTATTAGTTGTCTGGTTGTTGCCGAATCTTAGCAATTTTTTTTGCTCAGATGCACATATGGATATCTGCTCTTATATGCCTCTTATTCATGCTCTATATATCTTCTTCAGATAAGCTAGTGTGAAGTTGTTTTTATTAATATTAAAAATGTGTTTTATGGATTTTTGTCTAAGCAAATAGTTTTATAATATTGCTTTAATTTTATTTTTCATTCTAACTGAATACCTTTGTAAGAACAAGTATCCAAGTACTGATATTCAAGTGGTGTAGTCCGTTAAGGTGGTTGTCTCACTGTTAGAGTAGAGCTAGGGCTACTGTGCTTGATCCACACAACAGCTGTAATTTGCTTGATAAATTTATTGTGTTTAAAAGTCATATCTTGTTTACATGGAGTGGAAGCTTGATATGAGGATACTAAGTCATGTTGTCTTAACAGATAAAAATTATGTGTTTTTCTGATCATAGTCATTAAAAAAATTGAACCTTGAAGACAAGGCTAAGTATTTAACCTTGGTTGGGTGTTATGTGTATTGTATCATTCTATTAGAACATGGTTCATGTACGCAACATACGCAACTCTTTTTAAGTCTAAATTTGAAATTTTGATTTCTATTCTTGTTTGATGTATAGTTATTATATTTGAGAAAATAAAATCTTTGGTGTAATTGTGATTTTTTTTAAAAAAAATCACAGCAAAACATAAAACTATTTAAATTAAAGTAAGGATTGTTGGATAATTAAACATTTATTTTGAAATTGTGTTGTATATGTTATGATTTGCTACTAAAAGAGAACTTTAAAAGTGTCACAATTAATAAGAATCTGTGATAAAAGATATTCAATTTCTATTAGCTCTATTTCTTCTCCTTCATTATCTTGTCATTGAAAGGCCTGTTCTAAAAAGTGGAATATCGGCCAAGTGTTAATTTCTAAAGAAAAAATGAACCCAATAGATAAGTTAATAGTTTGTATATTCATTCTCAGACATTTCAGTACGTTGAAATGATCTGAATCGAAGAAACAAAAAACTATTAAGGAGTTATTTTTGTGAGTAGTTAAGCAAGGGTACATAACCATTTTTAGATAGTTGTAATCCAGCATATATAAATCATTATTTAGTTATACATATAGGAATGAAGAATAATCTTAAAAATTGATTATGATTATATTTAAAAGTAATGTGAATTATTATATATGTATAATTGATTATTTTACTTGTCAGAATGAAATTTTTTTTATGTAAATAGATCTAATCAGTTTTAATCTAAATAGATCTAATCAGTTTTAATCTAAATAGATCTAATCGTTCCGAAATGTAAAGTTTCATGAAAAATTTAACATGTAGAGAAACTAATAATTTTTAATGTAATCATTGTAAAAAATTTTTTTTTTCTTAACAGTGTTCCCAAGTTAAATGGATTTTGACTTTAAAGTGAGAACATCTAATGAACGAGCTAAAGTTGAAGATTTGTTTGAATATGAAGGCTGTAAAGTTGGAAGAGGAACTTATGGTCATGTCTATAAAGCAAGAAGAAAAGATGGGTTAGCATATAATAATAAAAAGTATTATTATTCTACATATTTGCTATTTTTTTTTAAGATTAGTTACAAATAAATCTTTTTCACGTATAAGAAAGAGACAAACCTTGTGAATTAATTTTCTGTTTATTATAACCAGAGTTAGTAAAAATGAAAAACCTACAAACACAAAATTTCAATTAAAAAAACTTTCTTTAAGCATTGATCAACTCTTGCAACTAGTTTCAATCTGTTTGCTTCCACCTCATTTTTGCAAAATTTGTCTGAGAATAAACCTTTTTTAAGAATGTTTAAATTTTTTTTAACTTTATATTTATTCAAACTATAGGGATGAGTTTTGTAGAAAACCGAAAAAACTAAAAATAGAAATCCAGAAATGTTAAGTGCAAAATCACTTAAAATAATTGGAAAAAAAACTGAAATTTAATTTTAGGCATTTAATTTTAAATAGTGTAAATACGAATCTCTGTTTAAGCTTATAATAGTTTTATATGCTTCTCTATGTTTGAGATAACATTGCATGAATCTCAATGTTTGATTTTAAAATCTCATGAATAGGAATCTCAATCTTTGATTTTAAAATAGCATAGATACGAATCTCGACATTTAATGTTAAAATCGCTTTAATACATATCTCTATGTTTGATTGTAACTGTGAATGCGAATCTTGATGTTTGATTTTAAAAACGCATGATTTCAAATTTCAGTGTATTTTTAAATCACTTGAACACCAATCTTAAAAGAGGCATTGTGTGAATACAAGGCGTGATATGAAATCGTGCGAATACAAGGCGTGATATGAAATCGTGTGAATACAAGACGTGATATTAAATCGTGTGAATACAAGACGTGATATTAAATCGCGCGAATACAAAACTATATTAAATCGCGCTTACATAGGTAGGAAAAAGCATAAAAACTATTTCGTTGTGTAGTAATAGTAAAAACTTTCCAAGAAGGGCATTCGTGTAAATGATAGCGGTTCTGACTATAGAGATAAAGCAGGTTTTTTTTTTTTAAAAAAAAAGTCATTTGTAGCTAAATTTTAATATTTTTTGCCTGCTTCAAAAGTACAGAATCTTATGCTAAGCGAGCATTCTCTGTAAGATTCTTTACCGTATTCAGTTAAAAAAATATGTTTCTGACGCATATGTTAAATAACTTGTTATAAAACATTAGCAGTATTCTCTCGTTTGTCACGGTTACCGGTAAAAAGCCATTTTCAAGTTCTTTTTATTATTTTTGTTGGATTCAATTTTGATTTTCTTTATAAAGCTCAAATGAAAAAGTTTTAAGTACTAAGGACCTTATTTTAAAAAACTGCTGTAAAGTACTTATTAAGATTGGGATATTTCATCATTTTAGAGTAAAGTTTTTCTAGTGTATTTTTTATTTTTCGAAAATATTAGTCAGGGATGTAAATTTTAAAAAAAATTGAGTGACTAGTTCAAAAATTTTATTAGGCCAAATGTATTTCCACTTGTTTGTTCTCTTAAAATATTTAAAAAAAAAAAGTTTATAAAGAGAATTTAAAGAAATAGCAATACAGAGAACGATATCTTAGACTTTCATGCCAGACAATTTAAATTGAAATATTTTTACTAGTCTATGTTAATTTTTTTTCTTGTTCTACAATACATTATTACTACAAAAGGTGTTTATTTTTAAAAAAATGCTGTCTAGTTAACAGCAAACTGTTGTCGTTATGAATTTTGAAACTTGGTAAGAATAAATATTTTTGTTTTCTTAACAGAATGTAGCAAATCATGGTTTCTGTCATCCCATTTTCAATTCATTTTTCAGGTCATCAGTCATCTTTAGGTTGACTGACTTCTTTTTGTATTTAAAAATTTGTATTATAAAAATTCTTATTTAGCACAGATTTTGTTGTAAATTATTATGTAAAAATTTTATAAAATATTTATTTTAGGTCTGATCCGAAAGATTATGCATTAAAGCAGATTGAAGGCACTGGAATATCCATGTCTGCATGCCGTGAAATAGCTGTAAGGAAAAACTTTCTGAAATTTTCTTTGTTATAACTTGATTTATTTAGAATATCATTAGTATTAGTTAATGTTTTATGTTTTTCATTACTCCTGTTAATGCACTTAATTTTTAGGTGATTGGTAATATTAATTTTTTAAGGAGAAAATGGAAAATATCAGAAATTTAAATATAATTAAATTAAAATTTTAAGTATTTTTAATTTGAACTTTTTAATATCTAGTCCCTTGGCATAAAAGATGTTAGTTTAGCATGCTAATGTTATACTTCTTGTTAGTTATTGAAAATTTTATTTTAAAACTTTTAAATGTATTAAGTTCAATAAAGCTCATCTTAAACCCATTACAAGTGAGGCTAAATGTGTAAAAATGTATTATTTGTTCAAATAAAAGCCAGAATCATAATTTAAACTAATTTTTAAAAATGTCCTATGTTTCCCGTATTAATACTTGTATTAAAATACTCATCCCAACAAGTAATATGTACACTTCATGGCCAGTTATTCTAATTAATTCTCATAAGTTTTTAGTATGTTTGAATTTTGTTCAATCTATTTTTTAAATGTTTATTTGTTTTCTTTACAGCTTCTTAGAGAACTAAAGCATCCTAATGTGATAATTCTTCAAAGGGTGTTTTTATCTCACACTGATAGAAAAGTCTTTTTATTGTTCGATTATGCAGAACATGATTTATGGGTATAATTTTTTTTTTTATATAAATATATGTGCATGTTCGTACGAAGTAAATTTTCTGCCCAGAATTAATTGTAATTAATTTTTAATATGATTGATTTTCAGATTTATTAAGCTTTATTCTCATTTATTTTTTCTCATAAGTGACTGGTAGATACAGTTTATATAAAAAAAAAATTTTTAAACCTTGTAACTAATCTAATGGTCATTTTTTTCACACATTCAATGCAAGCATATCTTAAATATGCTAAGTTAAATCAGACTCAAAAACATTCAAATTTGGTCCTCTCGATGTTAAATTTTTCTACTATGTGCATTTCATCATATCTCTGAGACTATTTACATGAATCAAAAAGTTTTTTTGCGCAATTATAAAGCTCTTCATTCCAAGTATGTATTTTGAAAACAGCTAATTTGCAAAATTAATTATTAATTTTATAGTTTTAAATATTGAAAACTAATCTTTTAACAATTATTTGATTTTTTAATCCTAAGGAAATTTTACTTATAAGCTTTAATATTTCTTCTTATTATTTCTTTGAGTGCATAATCTTGATTGTTGCAATTCTAAAATGACAAAATCTAAATTCGTATTACATTATTTAAATAGTTAAAAAAAAAAAAATTAAATGTGAAACTTTTTTAAATTTCATTCCTCAAAGTTATTTGCTAATTTCTTATAAATTTTGTACTATATATTTTTTTTAAAATTTTGCTTAAGGGTATCTAACATTTCCAACATAAAATGTTTCTGATTATTTTTAAAATAACTTCTTGAATTTTTTTCATGGAATTCATTTTTGATAACAGCTTTATAATAGTGTGCACAAAGTAAAACTTACATTAAGGGATTAAAATTTTCAATTATTCTTTTGACCCAACAAGACCTAGCCTAGCCTTTTGCCCTAAGCATCTGGACCATATTTTTTGTAATGGGCTTACTTCCATATTTTGTATTAATAAATTATGAATCTGTCTAAAAAATTTATGTTTAATGCATTTCAAAGTGCATTTTCAACTGATTTAGTAATTGAAATATTGATGTACACTAATTAGCATATTTAAAGGCATGTTTCTTGGAGTTTTAAGATTGCACCTTAAAAAATTCTATTTTTAGATCAAAAGCTCTTAGGTTATAAAGTTTTTTAATGTATATCTTGTATTTTTGTAAATTCAACATCTTTATTGCTTGAATCAAACAGAAATTTCTTAGCTTTCTAATATATATTTGAGTATAAATAAAGGTAAATTATAAAGATAAACCTTTATGTATTAATATGGATATTAATACCCTTTAGAAGTACAATTCACTTATGAACAACATGAAGAAATAACTTTGTTAGAAATTGATATTACTTTTATGAAATTTTTTTCAATTGTATGTCAATAGAATTTAAGTTTATAATTTTATAGTATTTGCTCTTAAGAAAAGTTTTAATTTAAGGTATGAACAATGCATTAAAATTTTCTGGCAGTTACACTTTGACCCACATTAGTAGTTACACACATTAGTTAGTGAAATTCAATATAAAAGTTAAGTATCACTGCAACAGCTCGCTGTGAGTAAGGGGTTTCGTAGAGGTTAAGGATCCACAATTTCGAGACAAACTGCGTCCTTCTAATAATGTAATTGACATTACATACAGGATGCCTATGCGTCCCACATGAGCCCAGGCGAGCTGAAGCTAGTAGAGCTTCAAGGATTGTCCTTTGCAATAACAATTTAGTGCCTTTAACCATTGAGCCTTTGTGGCTCAAAATGCAATGTAGGATACTTAAGTGTCATTCTAACTCTTACTGTTTACGTTGTTTCAAATAATATGCAAACTTTTATTTCTTGCTTGAAAACTTTTTCTGACGAAATTGTTTTACATATTCTGTCGTTCTTTAGCTGTTTTCTGCCTGGAAATTGAGTTAAGGACTCTTTTTCTTTCTCGTTTCAAGAATAATTTTTAAACATAATTTGACACTTTTTTTTTGCACTATTGGAATGTTTTTTGTATAGTTATTTGAATGTTCTTCAAATAGTTTTTTCTTATAATCTTTGAACTGTTTCCTTTTGACTTACCACTTAGAAAAAGTTTTATCAATTGCTGTTTAACTTCGAGACTTCATTTGCCTGTTCTTGAATTTTGATAAATCTAGCAGCTAAAATCAGTCTTTCACTTGCTCGTAGTAGGTTGTGTTTTTTAAACACTTATAGAGAATTTTTTTCTACAAATTTCAGCTGTCAAATAACTTATTTGTTTTGGAAGGTAAAGGTACTTTCATTAACATGCTTAAAATCATTGAAGAAAATGTCTTAAAAATTTTCTTAATATGAAATATAGCTGCATCTGAAGTTGCAATGAAAGATATTTTCTAAATATTCAAAAATGATGTATTTTTCTTTCAGCATATCATAAAATTTCACAGAGCTGCTCTGAAGTTGCAATGAAAGATATTTTCTAAATATTCAAAAATGATATATTTTTCTTTCAGCATATCATAAAATTTCACAGAGCTGCTCTGAAGTTGCAATGAAAGATATTTTCTAAATATTCAAAAATGATGTATTTTTCTTTCAGCATATCATAAAATTTCACAGAGCTGCTCTGAAGTTGCAATGAAAGATATTTTCTAAATATTCAAAAATGATATATTTTTCTTTCAGCATATCATAAAATTTCACAGAGCTGCTCTGAAGTTGCAATGAAAGATATTTTCTAAATATTCAAAAATGATATATTTTTCTTTCAGCATATCATAAAATTTCACAGAGCTGCTCTGAAGTTGCAATGAAAGATATTTTCTAAATATTCAAAAATGATATATTTTTCTTTCAGCATATCATAAAATTTCACAGAGCTGCTCTGAAGTTGCAATGAAAGATATTTTCTAAATATTCAAAAATGATGTATTTTTCTTTCAGCATATCATAAAATTTCACAGAGCTGCTCTGAAGTTGCAATGAAAGATATTTTCTAAATATTCAAAAATGATGTATTTTTCTTTCAGCATATCATAAAATTTCACAGAGCTGCCAAAGCAAATAAAAAGCCTGTAATGGTGCCAAAAGGAATGGTTAAGTCTCTATTATATCAAATTTTAGATGGAATTCATTATTTNTGTTAATAGGTTGCTGATGCACCTGTGCTTTTGCAGTAGCACAATGTTTAGGACCGATCACGTGTCGGCGACAATCATCCAGTCCACCGTGGACAATTGAGAATTCCGAACTACAAATATTGCATTTCGCAAAGCCATCTTTTCCCGATACTAAACAAGGAAACTTTTTAGTATATTCCTCTCTAAACTTTTGATTATTCTTCCTCTTCTTTCGTAATCCATCGTCATTAGAAACTTCCCGATCCTGATTAGATCTTTTCAAATAACGATCCATCACAATAAAATTTAATAATACATACACAACTTATAAACTAACGCGATAAAAGCTGGATGAAAAATAATCTAAAATTTCAAACAAAAACGTATCATTCTTTTAACATCGGAGCAGCAAAATTCAAAGTTGTTTTCAAAAATTTTTATTGAAGTCACTTCACTTCACACGGTGTAAAGCAAAAAACTAACGCAGTTTCTCAAAGACCAGCTGCATTCAGGCAGATTACAATGGCGCCGCCGATGAGTAACCCTTCATAATTGCGTGGTTTCTCCCGACCAAGGCTAACAACTCATGACGTCATTTTCGGCGATACACAATCAGTGACGTCACCACGCTTGAAAGACGACAACAGCGGATGCCGATAGATCGGACAGGCGCTTTCGTTTAATCCGTAGTATTTTACCATTCACCCGTAGCTCCGTAGTTTACCTCCAATTTCCGTAGCAACTACGGAAATTCCGTAGCAGTTGGAGGGTATGAAAATCAGTATTTCACTTGCTCTTTGTAGGTTGTGTTTTTTAAGCACTTATAGAGAATTTTTTTCTACAAATTTTAACTGTCAAATAACTTATTTGTTTTGGTAGGTAAAGGTACTTTCATTAACATGCTTAAAATCATTGAAGAAAATGTCTTAAAAATTTTCTTACTATGAATTATAGTTGCATCTAAAGTTGCAATGAAAGATGTTTTCTAAATATTCAGAAATGATGTATTTTTCTTTCAGCATATCATAAAATTTCACAGAGCTGCTAAAGCAAATAAAAAGCCTGTAATGGTGCCAAAAGGAATGGTTAAGTCTCTATTATATCAAATTTTAGATGGAATTCATTATTTGCATTCCAACTGGGTCTTACATAGGGATCTAGTAAGTATAATTTATTTTCTTTCATTTTGAATGTTTGCTTGTTTTTATCTATGTTTTTCATCATAAGTTTGAACTTTTTCTTAAACAATTAGATTGATTAAATCATATACTAAAATGGCTTTAATAATCATTTAACCTGGGTAAATTTTTTTAATTTTGGTATTAATTTTTTTTAACACATTGTTTCTTTCTTAAATGATTTTTCTAGAAAATGTTTAAATCCTGGTTTAATCAATTTTAAATATGATTTATTGTATTATAAAATTATGTATTTATAGTTCATAATTTTGATATTATTAATTGGCCTCTTTTATTTTACATTTAGTTTTCTTCTTTTTAAGAGCAGTTTATTTTGCACTATTTATTTAAATTTTGCTTTATAATGAAAATAATTTGAAATTATTGGAATGTTTTTCTTCTCTTTTAGAAACCTGCGAATATTCTAGTTATGGGTGAAGGTCCTGAGCGTGGTAGAGTAAAAATAGGTGATTCAAAAATAATATAAAATATTCCTTTGTAGTAGAAACAAGAGTAATAAAATTATCTTATAATGTTTATAATGTCGCATTGCTATCATTTCTATATAAATATTATTTTAATCAATTCTAAGTATTAGTGGTGTTTTTAAGTTGCTTCTATAGTTTGAATCAATAATATGCATTTATTATTGATTTGTTTAATTATAAGTTATGTATAATTGTAAAATAAAGTTATGTTGCAGCTAAAAAGTGTTTCACACTTCGCACAATCTCTATATAAAGCTTCCTAACTTATCCTGATTTGGGGTGTGCACCTTTTTCCATAGTTGTAAAACATTCTGGTTACAGACTCAAAGACTATTAATTTGACCCTTACCAGCACCTACAAATATCTCTTGAACATTTTTTGCCTTTGATCTCTTCCAACATCACACACATGCTTAATAATAAAAACTGAACACATTAACAGCTGTTCTACTGCTGCGGGAACAAAAATTGATGTGCTAAACATCATACTGCATCAATGTCTTCTAGAGATTTGTAGGATATTGCCTTACAGTATGGTGTCGAGTTGGTGCATCAATCTCTACACTGAGGGATACCAAAAGGTGGCAGGTATGAGTCAACCAGGGCTTCCTACAGTGTTAGTGAAGAACAAATTGATCTATCACGTTAGGAAGTGTTATGCAATCCATTGTAATCCTTGGATTTAAGCCTTTTAACTTTGACTTATTTCTAAGCTAGAGGAATCACATAGCAACATTTCCTTCAAAGTTTTTTCAGGCTTTAGATCACTATACTCAAACTATCAACAGAAGATACATTGCTTTAGATATTTTACGACTTTCACATCACTAGCAACAAGTTATACTTAATGCTAGTGACTACCTTTATATGCAGTTAAACTTAGTGAATTGTATCAGTTGTAAATAAATAAGTTCCATTAAAGTTCCAATTCTCATATTTAGTATAATACAGAAGGGAAGTCAGTTAAAAGTTGAAATATCATCATTACTTGTGAAAATAACTTTAATCAATTTCTTATTTTAAAACTATAAAACACTTGTATCTTTTTGGTTTAATTAAAATTTTTTTTCTTGTAGCTGACATGGGTTTTGCTAGGTTATTCAATTCGCCTTTAAAGCCCTTAGCTGATCTGGACCCTGTTGTAGTAACATTTTGGTATCGAGCACCTGAATTACTTTTGGGAGCTAGACATTATACTAAAGCTATAGGTTTGTATAGATATTTTATGTTAGTATTTAATAATTCATATCCAAAATGATAAGATTAATTTCTTCAAATTTTTTTTGTTATCAAAACTATTGAAAGATATTAAGAGGAGTTAAAAATTATGAGAATAAATACCATTCTGTGTGTTTTAATGTAATGAATAAAATGTCTGCATTTTCTTTTAATAAACAAAAATATTTAAGATTTTATTGATAATTCTTAAAAATTCTGATAACTAGTTTTTTACAAAACAATATAGTTCTTACTGATAAATTAAAAAGCAAAAATTAAACAAAAAATTTTCTATATGCCAAGGAATCTAAAAACAAGTTGTTAGATATATTAAAAAAAATTGCCTAAATTAACTCCTGAATATAAACTCCTTTGTATTGGTGATGCCTTTGTTTTATTTAAAATATTTAGTAGAAGCAGGAGACATGCTAGTGATTCAAGTGTTATTCATTCTATATTTAATGTTTTGTTTGAAAAAATAATTCATACATTATAATGCAGCGTGATAACCGTTATAAGGATTTCTTAAAAGACCTGTTACTCTTATGACTTGCCAAATTTTACTCTTTCTGAGGATTATTTTTTAAAATGGTAGTAATATCTGAAGCCAATCCAGATTTTCTTATCAGGGTCTTGTTTCTTATAATATTTTGAAATATAGTTTGAACTTTTGTAAAAGACAATATGGATATTTATTAAAACACATGGTATTTCCGACATATATATATATATATTTTTCAAAACCATACTTATATAAGACTTAAGTGAACATTTAAATACTGAAATATTAAACAAATTTCTCTGTTTTTGGGCTTCTTGGAAAAATTTTTTTGTTAAGTTGTTTGATGTATTTTAATGTGCTTTTGTTAATAACTCACACAATGATTCTCATTTTCTATGAAAATTGGGTACAATTAAAGAATTTTATTCATATATTCCCCCCCCCCTCAACAATCTGTAATTGTTATTACATTATTTCATAGCAGAATATTTTTCAAAAAAAGTTGAGAAATAAAAATTTAGCTATATAAGGAAAAATAGTGTTCGTTAACTTTTAAGATTAACTACCCATTTTTTTCTTTAAAAAATTAAAACTTTAATATTATATTTAAAGTGATTTTGTATCGTTTTTGTACTTTATTACTGTACATTTGTGTGTGCCTAGATTTTTCAAAATCATGAACTATAATCATGAACTCAAATTATCCATAAAACAAAGTTGTTTAAAGTAGATTAATTTTAAATTGCATTGCATACTTAAAATTCCTGTATTAATATTATCTGTGCATAACTAATGTTTATTTGTTTAATTTAGTAGTAGGCATTATGAATGGTTGTGATCACTAACATAGTGATAATTTTCTTTGATTAAAAATTGTATAATATTTAAAATATTAGCTTAGTTGTAGTATGTACTTAAAAAATGTATGGTCTCTGGAATTATTTCTTTCAGTAAGCAGGATGAATGTGTTACTAGTCAATAAGAACTAAACTTATGTATCAGGGTACTACATTTGCATCCCTAGTTTCTACATTACAAACTACATCTTTGGATGCTACATTACAAAGAAACTGCATCCACTTTGTTAAAGATATATCTAGTTTATAAACCATGTTATTCGCAAACAATTCTGGGGGCCACCAACTGATTGTTATTGTGATGCATAATTTTTTCTGTTTATCTAACCAAATATTTATATAGAAAAATGTGTGCACTATGAATCTTGAAATACTTTCAGATATATGGGCTATAGGTTGTATTTTTGCTGAATTATTAACATCCGAACCAATCTTTCACTGCCGACAAGAAGACATCAAAACAAGTAATCCATATCATCATGACCAGTTGGATAGAATATTTAATGTCATGGGTTTCCCTCAAGGTATATTAACAATATTAAAATAGTATTTTTGTATTTAAAAAAATGAAATACTCAATGTATGCCTCATATTCATTGCTTCCAATATATAGTGAAGCCTCCAGGAAAGACTACCTCTACTTACGGCCACTTTTGGGGGGCATATAATTTTTTCTTTGGATTTTATGTTCAGGTTAACCTTTAGGAGAGACCATCAAAACTTCTCCCAGCGATTGGGCAAACCTTTGCATCAAATGCGGAAAGGGACAAATAAGGAAACACAAGAAAATATCAAAATGAAAAAATATTAAGAAAATGAATATATAGTTACAAGTGTATTCAAAATATTTGAATACACTTGTTTCAAGTGTATTCAAAATGCTTGTTTAGAGAGCTCTTTTTAACCATCTCTGAAAGAGAGATCAATAACCTCATGTTGCAGTCAGAGTGCACTAAAGTCTATGCTATCAGTGATTTATTTTTAGAGTTGAAAACTAAATTAGAAAAAAATATTTTAGTAAAGACTAAGCATCTCAAACAAGGAAACCTCTTCTCATTTTTTAAAGCAAAACTAATTTTTATAAAATAAAATTAAATTCAAACTTAAGCAAAGAAAACTTAATTATTTATTTAAAATAATTCTATCCTTTATAATTGGAAAATTTGTTTTTACGTATAATTCTATCAGTAGGGATCTTTTTTATTTGATGCTATATTTTATTCATCAATCCAGCTTTCATGACACCAACACAAGTTACATTTTTGTACCACAAAAATTACACTGAATAAAATAAAATACTGTTGTGAGAGATTACGTATATTCGATTACAGTTTGTAGTCAATAGAGGTAACCTCTAACAACGACCAACCTCCATTGAGGACCAGTTTACGAAATTACTACAAAACTCTGGAACAAAAGGTGTTCGCTCCAGAGAGCTTTCACTGTATATTAAAAGTCTTTAACAAAATGAAGTGATTGAAACTTTAGGGTTTGTAAATTTTTAAAACAGAAAAAAATTCAGGTTGTCAAAATTTCAATACTAGTTACCAAGATCAATAAGGTTAAATGTCACATTAAAGATTTTTAATTTTATTTCCACAAGTTATAAAATTTATTTAATAAATTTTTATTCTGTTATTTCTTGACATTTAACAATATGCTTTTACATTCCAGAAAAAGAATGGGAGGATATTAAAAAAATGCCTGAGCACACTACTTTAATGAAGGATTTCAAGCGCTCAAAGTATGCACTGCATTAAATTATAATTTATTTTTTTAATGTAAAGCCGAGTATGTGTAAGATCAAAAATATCTAGTCTTAATACTTAATGAATAATTTAATTTTAGTGTTTTACATTTTATCACAACATTCTTTTTTAAATTGATTAAAAGTATTTCATTTCTTGTTGGGTATTTTTCTAGCAGAATCGACAGGTCTGTATATTTTTATATATTTTAAGTATCAAGTAGTTTAAGTATTTTTTTTTGTTGTAAATTTAAGTATTTATTTAGATGCATAAAAAATTAAGTAGTAAAGTTTATCCTTTTACATTTTGAGATTAAATCTTTTAATTGAAAATAGTTTATAATACAGGTTTTTTGTATCATTCTTTCTGATCTAAAAATTAAACGCTGTGCGTTTTTTTTTTTTTTGCGAATATCACAGAATTCCTCGTATCCCAAGATCATTGATTTGCGGATTTCCACAATTCAAAAGCTTAGATAATCCGACTAAACTATTTATAATTCCCATTGACGAGACGTTTACATATATGTGTGATTCTTCTGTCAATTTTGCTCTTTTGTTTGGTGGGTTTTTGCCATTTTGAATGTTTGGAATTGTGCCAGAATCTGCTAATATTGTCATTTCGTATTCACACGATTTTAATATCAAACATAGATTTTCACATTTACATGATTTAAAAGTTACACATTGTGATTAGTATTCATACAATTTAAGAATCATACATTGTGATTCTTATTCATGCGAATTAAAAATGCAATATTTTGATTTATATTTATACGCTTTTTAAGCCAAATACCGCGATTCGTATTCACACGTTTTTAAAACCCAATATAACGTTACGTATTCACGTATTTGGAATGTCAAAAATTTATTTTCTTAAAAACAACGCATCACGATTTCTATTCACACAGTCTGAAAATTATACATTGTGATTCCTAATTACGCATTTAAAATACTTCATCGCAATTTGTATTTTCGCGAATTTAAAATACAATATCGTGATTCATATTCACACAATTTTAAAATCTAATATCCCAGATTCTTGTGAGAAGTAAGCTTTTTTGAATTTGTTACTATAAAGGTGTGATATTATTCCTTAGTTGGTAATTTAATTATAAATGCTAGTTCAAAAAATTATGTTAAAAATGAAACGTATTAGGTATATAAATTGGTATCTTGATATCGATTTTTTGAACATAAAATTTTCTGGGTTTTTCACTTCGTGTCTCAATTACCCTTGTAAAACAGACATCATGCATATTTTCATAATCTTGAGTACTTTCTTATCAAACTTTAATATGATTAATCTTATGCTACATAGTCAAAAATAATTTTATTGGAGCTTGCTGATTTTCCAATTTAAATATTAATGGGAAAAATTTTACGGTTATTAGTACTGAGAAAGAGATAGTCTTTTATACTACTAAAACCTTATTTGAATCGCCTAATTATCCGTCGTCTCCCAGATCACTGACCCATCTTGGATAAGTGACTGTATCAAGATATTATGTTTCAGTTTTCTACTACAGTCAGAATAAGGGATATATTTTGGTTCTTTTTGTTTTAAGTATGCATCAGTAATAAGAAGTTTGACTTGGAACCTTCTGAGGAATAGGGGTTTTCTGTATAAAGGAAATAAGGTAGAAAAGAAATAGGGAAAACTGAGCTATTAATGTCGTCGCCAGTCGAATAGAGAAGAATTTTTTAATAAATACTCTGTTTTGATTTGTGTGCTTAGTTTTTTTTTGTGGGTATGAACTTAAGTTTTAATGATATTTTGAAAGGTGACATAGTGAACCACTGATAAAAATTTTAAATATTGTCATATCTTAATAGTTTTTTTTGTTTCATAAATTTGGAAGTGTTTTTGAAAAATCTGAGCATATTAACAGACCAGTGAAAGAGTGTACTAGCTAGTAGAATCTTTTAGCTATTGGTTTCCTATGCAGTATTTCAGACATCACCATAAGATTTGTTAGACCAGTAACTACATTTTTTACCCCTGCATTAATATATAGTGAGCAAAGAAGATTTTAACCCAAATAACTTTTATTATAATATTTTATTTTTTAAACTTAATTAACTTTATCTAATTTAGGGAATCTGACTCTGAAACATACTTTCTCCGGAAAAAAACTGTTCCTTTCTTTTCCCAACAGATTTGATTAGTTGACCTTCATATATATATTTGAATATTTATTCATATAGCTGCAGTCTGGTGCTACACACAAATTATGTGGCATAATTCATGTGTAGTACATTAAAAAAAACATAAATATATCCTTTTTGATCACATTTATGTTTGTTCTTAATGTAAAATTCATGAAAATGCATCCTTTTTTAATGCATTATAAATTATGTTGATTATATACTGAACTTAATAAATGAAGTTTTGTTCACTTATTAATTATATCTTATTTTAGTTATTCTAATTGTTCATTAACGAAGTACATGGAAAAACATAAAGTCAAACCAGATAGCAAAGCTTTCCTTTTGGTAAGTGTATTTATATTTAATTGAGTATGCAAATATTTGTTTATTTTATCAAAGGAAAATCAAAATCATTTAACTTTATAAATTGCAAAGATATTTTAATAATTACAGATGATATATAATCATTATATAAAGTTTAGGTCTTGTCTACTTATTATGTTATAGATAAAAGTTGATTATTTTTAATTCTTGGATAATTCTATTAAATAATTGTTAGTTTTTTAAGCTTAACTAAGAATAAAAGCAGTTCATTACATATTTAACTGTAAAAATTGTTTTAAAAAAAAATAAGGTAGCGACAGTGAGAAAACCAGGCTGAAGAGGAAGAAGTATATCAATCAGGTTATCAATCTGAAAAAATTATCTGAATGTCTGGGAAATTAATTAATTCCTGAAAAGTCTGGGGAAATGAATTAATCTGAGTGCATGTTGCATTAACCCCTTAACTGCCGCGGGCGTATATGTACATCTCGGCCAGACGATGCGCTAACTGCCGCAGGCGTATATAACGCTTTCATGAAGTACGATGCTTTGCATTGCGCTGCTATAAATAGAACTACGCCCCCGCCTTCTGAATGCAGTAAAATGACCTTGAGAGTGTTTGCCAATGTTTGTCATTGAAAGTGTTTGCAATGAATGTATTACAAATTTCGGGGAAGGGGGAATGGGAAAGGGATGTGTTAGAAAAGTTATATCATAATATTTATTGTTTGTGTGTTTCTATTTGAGTAAGGTCGGGTTTATTCTTCTTTCGTTTTCCCGTGTATATTTTCCTGTGTAGAATCCTGCTATCAGTGCAATGAATGTGATGTTGGTTTATGTGTCCAACCATGTTTCAGGATTTATCATACAACAGCTAAGTTTTAACATATTTTATATAGAATTTTTATTCTTTAATTTAAGTTTGGTATTTTTCCTTTTTCTTCTCATGTGAAAGTAAACTGTTTTTAAATTGCAATGCGTTCATCTTCTCCNGCAACACACACACATTCCCCCCCACTAAAACACCGCATAACAAAGCGCACTTGAGCGAAAAACGTTGGCACTGGGGAGTGAATCACGTAAATTTTACTTGGCAGGTAAGGGGTTAAAGTCCATATTATTTAAAAAAAATTTAATCTGGTAATAATTTTTTGATTTTGCAAAATTGAAAAAAATTATGCACCAGCTACAAAAATTAGAGAAATTTGATACTAATTGGAAAAAATCAGTCATTATTTTTTTTCATTCAAAATATTTTTTTTTTAGCATTTATCGCCTCCCTTACTAAGTTTTATAAGAAAATTTGGTATGCTAAAAGTTATAAAACTAAGTTTAAACTGCAAAACTTAGGTAGAATATTCCTCTCATTTACACTATTTCCTAATAACATGAAATTTTTTTAAAGGATCAAAATACCATTATCTGCCATCAGATAAAAGTATAATAAATATTGTTTCTTAGAGACTATTTTCTTCTACAGCAAAATAAAAATTCTTTATCTCACATTTGATTTGTTAAGAGCATGTCATTATAAGATGTGCCATTTTTAGTGGACCAATCAAATCCAATGTTCTTGCAACTTCATACAGTTGATTCTTTTTCAAGAACGAATGTTCTTATTTATCAAAATATGTCACCAAGTCTATGATTCCAGTAAAGCTACGAAACTATAACCTTTTTTTTTAGTAATTCTACAATGTATATCGTAAAAGATAGCACAAATTAACATGTCTCCCTGACGTGTATAACTTTTATAAGCTTTTATACTGTTTTGTTAGCATATTTGTATAATTTGATAACAAAATAAAACTGAACTATATGCAGTTGCAGATGATTACCTAAATCCTGTACCACAATGGTTGTTATGAAATTAAGTTGTTGAGTGATGGTGATTTTAGATATGTAAAATAAGGGACAAAATGCTGGTTCTAAAACTTGTTACATTTTAAATTGCTGGGGTTGTTTCTATGATTTTTACTCTTTTTTTTAAAATTTAGCTTCAAAAACTGCTTCTTATGGATCCTACTAAGCGTATCACTTCAGAACTTGCTATGCAGGATAGTTATTTTCAAGAAGATCCTTTACCAACTCAGGAGTGAGTATTTTTATGTCAATATCTAATTTCGATTACATTTTGTGAATCTTTGCAACAGCTTGTAAATCTTTGCAATTAGTTTTTTCCCTCACCTATTACTAGATGCTATTAAAATTACAAATTTTGCCTAATTAATTTACAATATTTTACACTGATCACTAAAAGTACTGTGATCAAGTAGCTATTATCAGGATTCTAAATGCTGAATTGCTTGCCAAATTATATGCTAGTGTTGATTATTTTCAATCAACAATTTCAAACACAGTTTTACAATTATTGCAAAATAATTTTTTATGTTCTAGGGCCAGATAATTTTTTTTTTACACCCCTAAATTTTTAATCTCAAAATCTATTTAGATATCAAAATTAAGCTTTATTTTTGTAAGTGACATTTGGGATGCCTTTATTCTTTGAATTTTCTCACAATTAAATAACTTTAATTTGCTTTTCTTTGGTGTGATGAATTGTAAAGGTCAAATAAAGTCACTCTGTAAACAATTTTCTTTATATTACATTTGAACATAATGTTTAGAATATGAATGAAATTCAAGTTATAATCAAATATTAGACTGTTATCATTAATTATTTTTCTAACTATTCTTTAACTTTAATTATGATATATTTTAATAATATAATTCATCATAAAATTATCTTGTTTGGACTTGTTATTTACCTGGTAATGTATTAGCAATCTTAAGAGATTTTTTACTGTTTCTAGGTATACAAATTATTTCATTGTATCATTGTATTGTTTTAATAATAAAATTTTTTTATAAAAATTTCAGTGTGTTTTCTGGTTATCATATCCCTTACCCTAAAAGAGAATTTTTAACTGATGATGATCAAGAGGATAAGTCTGATACAAACAAGGTATGTTTTCTTTTTTCAAATCATTTGGTTTATATTTAAATGAGATGCATGATGCATAATAGAATGCTGTTCATTTGAAATTATGGCAACAAAGTTGATTCTATCTTATTCCCATTATTACTGGCAAATTTTATCTAGCAAAATTTATTTATTCTGAAAAATTAATTTTGATACTAGCTTAAAAAATCATTACTTTAAAATTTTGTAAATTTAAAATCTTTATTATTGAACTTAACACATTATTAATAACTTTTTTAAATAATAAAAATGATCAATTCTTACAATAAATGTATAAAAAATAATATAATGATTTATTTCTTATTATGTTTGAGAATTCTAGTTAAAATAGTTCACAATAAAAAATTTATTAAATAATATTTTTTAAAAAATTATCATATCTACTTATATTCTAAATAAAATTATATTTATTTTAAAACCTGTAAATTTAACATGGTGTTACTTTTAATAACTTATTTAATATGCTACTTTATTGATTGTAGCTTTAATTTACTATTTTTTGTTGCATAAATTAATTTTTTAATTTACTTTAGTTTGGTTTTCTAAAGACTTATGTTCAAAACTGTATTTTAAATATCAATTTTATTTTCTATACGCTTTAAAAAGTACATTTTTAAAATACATGAAATTGGTTCACTTTTGTTTCTAATTTAAGTTTACTTGGTAAAGAATTATTGTATTTATCTCATTTTTTCTGTTGTATTTTTATTTAGCAATACAAATTTTAAATTCACTATACCAATAAATATTTTTTTTCAAAGTATGCAAATTATAATCTAATTTTGTATGCATTTAAAAATAATAATTTAGTATATTTTACACTTTAATGTATATATTTTGTGCATCACTTACTAACAATTTTTCAAGTTTTATCTAATATCTTGTGAAGTTTATAACTTCATCTTATAAGCTCTCATTTTGACTCACCTCGTAAATTTACTTACTTTTCTCACAACTTCTCAATGTAAATTTTGACTTGCAATTTCAAGAATGTTTGTTGTTTGTTCAGAACTTACTCTTAAGTTTCAAACTTTGCCTGAAAATTTCATCACATTCACAACTTCACTTTGAAGACTTTGAATTTTCCCCAACTTTGTGATCTCTTCTTACATCCTCAGTTTTAATTTCACATCGCTTGTGAAACAAAAGTTCCTGATTTGTGGAAATTTTTTATTGTGATTTTCAGCATTTGATATTGATTTTTTAAAATTAAGTTTTTTACCTCGGGATTTTCAGAACTCTGCCTTCCATTTGCGTGGGTCCATGGATAAGATGATGAAGGTTAGATCTTTGCTTTTTACATATTTTGTTCATTTTTTTTATGTTTTAGTTAATCTCTGTATATTATTTTTTTATGAAGTTGCTTTTATTTTTAATAACTTATTACTCATATTTCAGTTTTTGACTTTTTAGGCCGACCTGGCCGAAAACTACTGGCCAGTAGGCCAGCATTTTTTATGTGAAAAATTGGAGTTAAATTACTTATGTTCAACGTTTTATTAGCCAACATTGCACAAACAAACAAAACACTCAATGTGACTGGGTTCTCTATTTAAATCTATGCAGTTTTTAGAATGTGTTGCAATTCTTCAGATTTGATCTGGCATGTTCTTTTAAAGCTGGTGAACTGGTGAGCACCAGAACTGCAAAAAAACTGTTATTACTAAATTATGATTTACCATTGAACTTTTTTAACAGGAAAGACGCAGGGAATACTTTCACATTAAAAACAGTATGGTATTGGCTCAGATTTTTTTGTTTTTGTATGTTTAAAACTCTTACATTTTATATTAACTATGCATAATATAAAATTCCTATTGCAAGTATAGTACAGTAGGATGTGTATGTGTCTAAATATTTTATTTTCTATAAAAATGTTTTTTTTCTTGTAATCTTATTACAAATCGTTCATATTTTTATATAGTTTCCTGAAAAAATGCAATTAATTAGGATGTTAAATAGCTGATTATACTTATAAGTGAAAGAAATAACAAAAGATATTAGTCTAAGTAAAGCTAGTAAAACAAGTGTTTCGAAAAATAAAATAATTATCTCAGTATATGTTAAATGAATTCAAAAAGGGAAGAAAAATGTTAGTCCATAATGTTGGTTCATATATCTTTATTTATAAAAATAGGTGAATCTATTTTTCAAATACTCATTATCTTAGAGAGAAATTGATTACTTCTATTGAACAAAAGTATATGATTTTTAGGGTACTGTATTTTTACTCTAGGCTATAATGTCAGCATCGGAGTTAGGCAAAATTTTGGGTAAAAAGAATTTGTGTCATGAAGTTGTTAGAAACATGTCGACTTAAGACACCAGTATTTGTTGGACAGTTTGAATTTGAAATGAAGTTAAAGTGAATTGAAAAAAATTTTAATGACAAACTGTGTTATTTTTATTTATGGCGGTATACATTAATAAATATTTAGTTATTTTATTGAGATAATAATAAAGAAATGGCGAAAAAAACTAGTTTGCTAGACACTGAGATCTTGCTGGATATATATGTAACCCAGAATTTTTTTTGGTGGCAAAGAAATTCAAAAGGCAAAAAAAGTATAAATTACACTAAGAGTTGAATTATAATCAGAACAGTTACAGTATTCAAAATGGGATAGTTAAACTGCAGACATTGCAACTAAGTCTCTGCCATCCTCTTCCAATGATAAATTAGAATTTGAGAAATAATAAGATAATATTGAAAAGCCTAAGACAAAGCAAATGAAAATAAAGAAACAATAGCCCTTAGAAATAAAAATGAAAAATTTAAAACGAAATTTCTACATAACCCTTAAAGAATTAAAGAAATATTGCTCTTGCTAGACCCTTTTTAGAACTTATTCAAATAAATCTATTCTGAAAAGATAAAAGAAGTAGCCATTACAGTAAAATAGGGGTGCACAACCTGCGGCCCGCGGGCCAAATGCGGCCCTTCGACTACTGAAGTGCGGCCCGCGAGAGTTTCTAAACACAATAAAAAATTTTTAAAAAATGGCAATTTTTAATCGCGCTTTGAAGTCATCACGTTTTGACACAATCAATTTTAACAGATTCTTTAGTAAATGTACGTTTAACGCGCTTTCTTGAAGCCGAATTTATGGTAAATATAAATGATTTTTTTTAAACAGTTATTTCCGCTTTTCTACGTGACTTTGAAAATTCCGAATTTTTATAACGACGCGAGTTTCAGATCGCAAATTTAAATAATCACTTTTTGGGCACTTTATTTGTGACGATTTCATCTTAAATCTANAAAAAAAAAAAAAAAGTATAAGTTTTTTTATTTTTGAATGAATTCTAATAATGGAGCACTACTAAGTTATTGATATTACTAAGTTTATTAATAAAAAAATGGAACGCTATTGTTTAAATAAACATATCACATTTGTCATGTAAACATATTACATGTCTAAATACATGTGCGGCCCTTCGTTAGCCAACCTGCTGTGCAAGTGGCCCTTCACTCAAAAAGGTTGTGCACCCCTACAGTAAAAGCTCTTTTTCGTACTCAAGTTAATGTGTAAAGACTATTCTCAGCTCTGAAGTTCATCGAAGAAGATCTTGCCGAAAGAAATTACTAATGTCAGTTTTTCCATTTCATAGTAAATGCTAATTATTAATCTGCTATGCTTTCAATTTTTTTTTCTGTAGCATCTATTACTTTCATAATAGAAAAAAAGAAGCCATAATACATGTTTATTTGTTCACATATATATGAGATAGTCAAATTCTTTTAGTTCAAAATTCCAGGAGTCTGAGTTGATCATTTTTCCTACTGACTCCACAGCCCTGCTTTTACTATATTGATATGAAATTATCTCCTCTAGGGGGTGGAAAGAAAACTTTCTATACATGTTAAAAGTGCAAAAAGGTGCCTATTGTGTCCTACTTTATTAATGAGAATGTTTAATTAATAACCTTTTACAACTCTACTTTTATTTCACATTTGCAATCTGGATGTGATCAACACTGCCACATAAAATATAGAATATTTTTTAAGAAATATATATTCTTGGCAAATAATAGTTTCTTTATCTGTATATGAACATAATTTTTCTGCTTGTTAAAAGTTATACTTTTTCTGAGCCTAAGAAAATTTGAGATCTCCTTATATTAATTCATGGTCACATTATATTTACTTAAAAATTACGTTAACACAACTCCAGGGCATTAATTTATGTTTGATTATGGTGTACAATTATTAGAACTTCTATCATAGCTAAAAACTGTCTACATATTAATTTTCTCAAATAATTTTTCTTTATTGCATTTACACTTGCATGAGCAAAATATTGCAAGACGGAAATTTCATATTTGTATTTTTTGTCTGTGGTATGTGGTAAATATCGCTGATCTGATGGAATTGTCATCTGACAAAATGTGGAACAATTTTTGTCTGACGTAATATTGTGGTGCAAAATTTAATGCCAACAAAATCACATACAGATAAAACATCACTGGTATAAAATTTATTATTTTTGTACTTCTTGCATATGAGTTTAAAAGAGAACTAGGTTATCAATAATCAGAGGTTAGTTGCATACCGATTTCAGCATAACTTTTTATTTTTTAGAATGCATTGTTAAATATATTGTATATTTTTAATCCATTTTATCCATAAAATAACTCTTTCTAGCCTGTATTTATAATTGATACATTGTCATTTGTTAATTAAGGAATAACAAATAATAAAGGAAAGGCAAAATCTATTTCTTTTTCTCAACTTAAAAAATTTATAAAGCTAATTTATTCAAAGTCACTAAAATGTAATTTTTAACCTCAATTTCACGAACCTTGGTTTTCTTATTCTATTGTTAACGTTATGTGTTTGTACTACATTTTTTAACCTCAACATTTACAAAGGTGCTTCAATATAGTTCAGAAGCAAATGTTTGCTTTATGAGCTTGCTTATTTGTACATTACATAGCTTAACACTGGAGATCGACAGACTTGTGTGGCTCTTTTCGTTTTTTTGTTATTAAGGAATTCCAAAAATATTTACCTTCAGTGTAATTTTTTAACTTTTCATAATGACTCTATTTAAGTGCTTACTTAATCATTTAGATTTTTGTGTGTAAAGAAGTGTAAATATTGACATTTATTTCTAGAATAGTGGCAAAGGCCAGTCAGTATTTTGCTGTATTAAGAATAAATGTGTTGCTTTTCTTAATCACTTTATTATATTAAATTATAGTTTTATAAATTATAAAGAGTTCCATGCTCCTGGCATGTCATCAAAAAATGCAGCTTAAACAATAAAACCAGCAGGAAAATATGTGAACAAATATAATAATTCCAAAAAAAGAGAATTAAATACAAGGTAGTAAAAAGAAATCATACTTGTATGCATGCCATATTATCTTTTATAAAGAATAGAAACTCAATTACTAAGTTTTAGTATTATTGAGAAAGTCATAATGCTCCATCAAATCAGTCATATTTGTTAACCAAATAGAAAAAAAAAATCCCATCCAATTCTAATGATCAAGCTTCTACTATACCTTAAAAAAATTTTTTTTTATTATATTTTTAGATTTAAGATAAGAATTTGATATCTACATGCAAAAATCCAAGGACTATATAAAAATTTTTGAAATGGGTATTCAAAAATTTTGTCTTTCTGAGTATGCAAAAAGTTTTTTTAGTGTTAACCTCTTTTTAAAAGTTTTTTTTCATTTTTGTATAACATATTTTACTTAAGTATGGCAAACTCTTTTCTACTATTTGTTGAAATTTTTTTAACTTACAGTTTTAAAGTAACTACTCAGATTTAGTGTTTGTTTTTGGTTTCTTGTAATTTTTTCTTATATTTATAGACTAATGCAAATAATAATCAGGGTAATCAAGATAATAACAATCATGGTCCAAGTGCAAAACGAGTGAGAATGGCTCCTCCTCCACCAACTACTACTTCAGCTGCATCATCACAGGTATGAATGAATTACTGGCTTTTTATCCTTTATTAATAACTTGGCAGTTAATAACTTATTAATAAGGCAGTTATTAATAACTGCCTTCATTTAAAATTGAATTTTTAATACTTAGTTACTTAACCTTTTTGCTTGAAAGTTATAACATTTATTTCTATTAATCTTTTTAAGATTGTTAAATACTGTAAAAAAATAAAAAAATTTTGTAAATTGCTATGAAACTTTAGATTTGCTAAAGAATTTTTCCAAAACGTAGCCTTTTTTTTTAAGCAATATATTGTGCATGAAGTAATATGAAATGAGAAAATTTGGTTTGCAATTATTAATATTAAAGAGGGAAAAATGAGTATATGTCAAGAAAATCAATGATTCTTAAATATTTTTTTTTTGTTTTGAAATTATAATGTAAATTGAAATTATACCTGTATAAAGGAGGGAATAAATGCCTCATTAAGAGTCCAAAAAAAACTTTTCTTAAAAAACTTGCACTTTAAAATGTTATTAACCACAGTTGATAGAGCCGTTGTGGCTCAAGGGATGGAGTACTCGCCTCCCAATGATGTGACTGATTCGAATCCCAGTGATGTCTGCTTGATATTCTGCTCCCGGCTCGCACTAACCACAGTGCTCATGTAAAATGTCCACTGTGGTAGATGGATCATGGGTAGGGCTGCAAGAGCCGACATTCGCAGGAAATTGTGGAAATTACGCAGATTCTAAGCACAAAAAATTTTACTATATAAATTATGTAAAAGACAAATTGCGTAAATAATTAAACAAAATCGAAAAAAAAAACGCAACAAAAGTATTTCTTTTCATTTCAGGCAATATGAATATTATTATTTAATTAAACAGAATTTTGGTACAAAGCATTGTACATAGTCAGATTATTCTCATTTATGCTTCGTCTTTCATCACTTAATACATTGTTATAATTTGCAAACGATCTTTCTGCATCCACGCTGTTTGTAGGCACCGACAAACATCGAATTACCACTTTGGCCAATTTTGGATAGCTTTCAGTCTTTGATTTACAAAACTGGATAAATTTCCCTTCATCAACGTGCAAATCCTTAACCTTTGCTTTGTAAGAATTGAATACACAATTCTTCGTCATCCTCGAACATCGGGATATGTTTAAAGTGGGATATGTTGAAGAATTGTCCTCATTCATAACACTTAAATATTTATATTGTCTGGGATCAAAAACTCGGCATGCTTTAAAAAAGCTTCAGGCTGGCTGTCAAAATCTCTGTTTATCGCTGCTGCATTAAGAAAAATAATTAAAAAAATTTTCTTGACAAAGTCTTAGATCATTTTTGGATTTTAAGTACTCATTTAATTAACTTTCGAATACCTTCAAGAAATTAGACATTTTATTGTAAATAATGTGTGAACTAATTCTTTGTTTTTCAAATAAGGTCAATTTATTCCAAATTAATGGTGCATATGTTTCAATTTCTTTTTAAATCTGTATTCAAATCTGAATCATGACATTCTTCACAAATTGTGCTTAAAACTGAACTACTACTATTTTCTTTCTCCTTATCAAAGCACTCAGCATACATATCCAAATAATTTACATGGAATAAACAAGATTCCAACCAGCTATTCAATCTAGTTTGTACAGGAACCAGTAGTAAAGCAGTTTTTTTTTTTTTTTTTTTTTTTTTTTTTTTTTTNCAATTTCCAATTTTTTTTTTTTTTTTTTTTTTTTTTGTGCCCCTTTCCATCAAAAATGCTTGAAAGCGACCTTAACGTGTAGGGCACTAATACATTGTAGGTGGTTAGAAGTTGAAAAATCATTCTGTAGTTCAAGATTAAGCTCATTTTTTTGATATTTATATTCTTGATTTGTAAATTCTAATATGTTTCCTATTCTTTTTCAGTCCCATATGGGCGGTGGTGTTCAACAATCCCAGTCATCTATGAACTATAATTCGGGAGCTGGGAATCCTCAACAAAGTGGAGCTGGTGGATTTCCTCAACATTTCTAGACAATTTATTCTTATGATAATGATAGTATAACTTAGGACTAATGAAATTAAATCATGCATTTTGTAACTTTATTACACAGTCATATCTCATATTTGTACTGATTCACTAGGCATATAAATAAATGTATAAATTATTTTTCAAACTTTCTTTTGTTCTATTATTTAATTTTCCATTTTATGTGAGAAGCAAAACAAAAATTAACTGGAATTATAAATAAAGTGGTACCAATTGTTTCCAAAATCAATTTAAGAAAAACAGGAGATAAAAATTATGGTTTGCTACTTTCTATATTAACTAGATTTATTTTCCCCCACCAGTTTTCAAAATTAGTTACAATGTTTGTCAACAGATGGGGCTGATGAAAGGGAAAAATATTAAACAATATTTTTGCTACTTGCCAAACAATTTTGACTGAAATATTTGCACATGCATCTGTTATTTTTTTCTTTCTTTGACTGTTCCACATTGTTGCTGCAAATGGGGACCATTTTGAAAACATTGTTTCATAGTTTTTTTTAAACTCAGTAGCACCATCTATTGACAAACTTTATAACTAATTTTGAAACATGATGCAAAGGACACTGATTTCCTGTATCGAATGCTTAACAAGCAATTTCAATCTTTATTTTTAATGTTGAGATTTTCATTGAGACCCTATGTATTTCATAAAATACATTTTTAATAATAGAAAAAAACTGCTATATTTAAGGGAAATTTTATGAAGTGTTTTTACATTGCTAGGCAGCATTCAGTTTTTACATTGCTGTCAATACCAGATATTTCTATGCTGTTACTAAGCAATAAACTTTGTGCCGTAAGAAATTTTCTCTAGATACTGTTGGAAATTTCCTTGTGAGAAGCTAGTAAATTGCATTTGCTTTTATTTTATGCTTTTTCTTAGGATTTCCATGATCAATTTATTTACTAAATTACTATTAATAACTTATTAGATGACCCTTTGGTGAAAATTTTTCTTCTCATAACTTCTTTTAAATTATTGATGTAAGGAATGCAGTTTGAATCTTTTAGGTTTGACTTTTTATTTATCCCAACTTTAAAACTTTTTTAAATTATTTGTTTTAAGATAGCTATTGTCTAGAAAAATCTACCTTCATGTCTTCTATTCCCCCTGGGACACACTTTTGCGTGGTGGGTAGGTTGCCCCCAGGGTTCCGAGCTGGACCTTAACATTCTTCTGTTTCTCTCTTGTGACAATGTTTCGAGTTTTAGACTTTTTATCAAATTTGTATACTTACCTAGTGAACAATTTATTATTTCTTTATTTAAAACATGGTTACGACTTTCCAGATTTTTGCTTTTTTTGTTAGATTTCTTGATTTATAAATTTTGTTGCACATCTTAATTTGAAGTAACCAAATTTTTCCAATGCCTACTGATTAACAAGTTGGCTAATGCTGACCATCACATGTTAACCATGCGTTTCGTCTTGTAAGGAGGAAAAGGAGATCCTGGAGTTTCCAGTCTGTATTTTCATACCAGTGTGGTTCCCAACTGGGCAAATATGTCTAGGAATTTGTTGAGCATGTGCTCTTTGGCCTCTGCTTCACTCTAGTTGAGTTGAAGTAGATTAGATTCCCCTCACTTTCAATCAACTGGTAGGGGCGATTTGTCACCTTGCTGGGAACTAGTGCTGCATCAGAGAAGTGCCCCTGAGCTCTGATAGCTTTGGCAGATCCACATTCCTTTGGTATAGTGCTATATCTGGAGCTACTGTGAACTGAATACTGCAGAGCTGATGTTTCCCCTTTTTATTTTAGGCTCTGGTGGGCATGAGAGTGTCCAGATAAACGTCTTTATCTATTATGGCTACACCCACTTAATCACCCAGTTTCGAAATCCTTCATACAGATTTCACTACTCTAAATGCTCTATCTATGACCTAACAAAAGCTAAATATCTGATACTCAGCTCAACTGAAAAGAATCTTTCTACCTGATCACCATTTCTTGTACAAGTCTCTAGAAGCTCAAGTAGGTAATCAAAAAAATGTTCATGCTATGCCATCTGGGGACTTGTTCGATGAAACTTGTTCTGTAAAATAGACCACCTCACTTTTTAAATAATAAACTTGCCAACGTCCCTATTACTGTAACACTCCACGTAACACATTAAATATATCGATAGGCGTTTTTATAGACAAAGCACTACAATATCTTCCAATCTCTGAAAGCATTGAAGGCTTCTCCAGCCAAGGCGAAATTGATGTACGACGTATAACAATAAGAAAAGGCAAAGATATAATCAATTTTATATGTAACTTGATTTTAACTTTCAACACTACAAATTTTCCTTCTGACATTAAAGCTCGCTCTAGAAACAAAAATCCAACCATACATATCAAACCATCACCGTTTTAAATGCCTGAAGTTTTAATGACTCCAACAATTATAGAGGGAAAGGAAAGATATCAAAGAAACTTGCGGTCAAACTGGGCATAATTTCAAATCCTGCACATCACCAGGGCAATGAATAAATTTTCATGAATCTCACTCCGCTAATTTTTGATAGTGTCAAAAATGGATGCAAGAGAAATAAGTATTAAAGTCACGCAAAATCTCTCCTACACCAAAGCTTTTTCTTCTTCCAACTCGCAGCCATGTCCTAATGTTTCGTTTGATGCAGTGGTGACAAATTCAAAGATGACTAAATCAACTAAATTTGTTTCAAAAAGTTAACAAAATAGACATTAAAAGCATAATCCCATATGCTTTTGTCTCCAAGAAAACATTCCTTGAACCATCTCACAATAGGGAAATATACATTGGTACACTAAATTAATAAAAGATTTTATACAAGGTAGCAAAGCATGCAGTGGTGTTTCTTAATTTTTAAAAGTTATTCGTTTTCTATCGTTACACTTGTAACTCCTTTGCAAGCAGTTGCTGTTCAAATTGTCATCCAATCACAATATGTTGTATTTATTTACGATTGAATCGGGTAATACCTCAGTCTGATCTTGACAATTTAATTATGCTACTACCGTCATCATGGGAGATTCCGCCTTTACATAAAAAATCGTTTAAGGACATTCCATTCGTAGTTTTACAACTCCCATTAAAAACAACTCGTAATTTAGTTGAAGTGCTGGACGGTCGCAACACACCATGATTGGGTAAAAAAATATCCTTCCCCTGGAATTGAATCATTGCAAATTTCTTCCCTGTGACCTAAAGATTCGTACTCTAAGATAAAACTAATATACAATATTGTATATACGAAGAATATTCTTTGAAGTTGGCTATCCTTGTTCTAGAACATTCTTTTAATTTGCATGCCATTGATATATCTTTATCAATGTTGTTTGAACATTTTCTTTTAAATGCACAGCTTTTTTTTTAACTATAGTTGGATGTTTCTCAGGATAAAATTCAGAAAATGTGGATATAGTTAAATTGTAATTATTTCCTTTTTAGCTAGCAAAGTGTCATTCATCTCTTATGAAAAATTGTACCTTCGATCCAATCCAATAATGATGTTTAAATAAGCGAGATGAGTCTTTTTTTTAAAATCATAACTGCTTTTAATATTTTACAAAAATTCAGAAAATTTGGATATAGTTAAAAATTAATTATTTCTTTTTTTTATTAACAACATTTTCCTTCTGTAATAATAAATATATCTTAGATACTTGAAATACGATGGAATAAGAATAATTATATTTAACAGTTAGTTCGAGAATTAAAATCAAACTGTTAGAATTGTTGACTGTCAATCTGTAACGATTACCTAATATTGCATATGAGCTCAAATTAGAAAAGATTTTTATTTATCTCTTTATTTTATTTATTTTCTTTTATATATTTATTTTATCTTTTTATTTATATGACTTTAATATTTAAAAAAAATTCGATATAAATGTTAAGACGTTAGCTGGCATTATACGATCCTTTTCTCTTATTTTATACTATTTATTCATTTTTTGTTGTTAATTTTGAAATCTAGTCAAGCTCGAGTTTAAGAAATGAAGATCTCGAGATTGATGAATTTTTCAACAGCAATTGATAAATAATCATTATTTAAAGAAGTAAAAGTAAAAACAAAAAAATCCACGAAAAAAGCAATTAAAATTACAATAACTTTCGAGCAAATTGAAATTACGAAAAAGAAAACTTGCGTCCAGTTTATAAGAATATTCTATGAGAAAATAACCCTTGAAGCATATCAGATATCAACTCTGTAGTGAGTTTTTATTGTGAACACAACTCAACAAACACTATTAAAAATGCGAAATGTATGCTTAAGGCAATGAACATAGCTATTTACGAGAACGGACAAGGCATTCTGTTTTTCAAACTTCTTTAATGAGTATTGTTCCTTTTTTTTTATTTAAAGAATATACAAATTTATCCGAATAAATTCGTCATGTGATATCATCCATTTGCATAAATCACTTGGTACATTTTATTAAATTATGTTTTTTAAAAAGACTTTAAAAGTTTAAGTTTTTTAAAACTTATTTTAAAATTTTAAATATGAAGACATGGTTTGAAAATTTACAACTGTAATATACCTAGCCAAACCGACCCTGAAGTCCGGGACTTACCCAGTAATAATTATACTTAGTGTGTAAATGAGTAAGGAAAATTAAGCAAGACATATCTCGTCTATTTGTTAAATTTGGGTTAAATCTTGAAAAGGCATTTTTTGATGTATTAATTTTTTTAAATACGCTTTTTGAGCTGTGTCCATTTCTTTAAACACGCATTGGAGCTGTGTCCGTTTTCCTAAACACTTATTTTAAGCTGAGTTAATTTTCGTAAACACGCATTTTGAGCTGTGTTCATTAAATTTTCATATACTTCAAATATTTTACCAAGCAATTTATAAAACTTCAGATCAATTTTAATAAAATATTTTTAAAGTTTTAGTTTTGAAAGTCCGATGTAGTACCCATAAACAATTTGTTGAACTTTGTATTAAGAATATAATTACCAGCTAATTAGTTTCTTTCTAGAAAAAGAGTAGCATAAAATATTAGAAGATACTTTAATCGCTATGAATCAGTTTGCAATTCTCGTATTATAAATCTTTTTTAAGTACACTCTTATTTACATTTAGAATCAAGACGTTAAGATTTATTTTTAGTTTCATTAGTGAAAACGCATCGCGTATCTCTTAAAATAGA